TTCAAGCCTACCACGAAAATTTATGACAACAAATAATGAACATATATGGTTCCAAACGACATTATATAACACCGAGATGTAACCCCTTAAATTTCAAGACTTTTCGACACCAAGACCCGAAAACTCCAAAAAGTCTTTAAAAGCGTGGATATTAGCCTTCAATTTTTGAATTTTTTGACATTTTTTCGCCCGGAAATAAAAATTGCTGAAATGTTTACCGTGGTCTCTAATATCCTATGGGAGTCCAATTGGGTGGGTGGAACCATCCAATTTGCCTTTAAACGGGCAATTTACCGATTTACAACTTGCGCCGATTTCATTAACTCAAGCCTACCACTAACATTTATGACAACATATAATGATCATATATGGTTCCAAACGGAATCATATGACTCCGAGATGTATCCCCTAAAATCTAAAGGCTTTCTGACATCGGGCCCCAAAACCTCCAAAATTTCTAAAAAAGCGTGGACATTAGCCTTTAATTTTGGAATTTTTTGACTTTTTTTCGCCCGTAAATAAAAATTGTCAAAATTTTTACCATGGTCCTTAATACCCTTCGTGAGTCCAATTGGGTGGGTGGAACCATCCAATTTGCCTTTAAACGACAAATTTGCCGATTTACAACTTGCACCGATTTCATTAATTTATGTTTACCACGAACATTTATACAACATATATTAATCATATATGGTTCCAAACGGCATTATATGACACCAAGATCGATGTATTCCCTGGAATTTCAAGACTTTTCGATACCTAGTCCCGAAACTTTCAAAATTTCGCAAAACGCGTGGATTATTAGTTTTCAATTTTGGCATTTTTTGACTTTTTTTTGTTCGGAAATAAAAATGGCCAAAATGTTTACCATGGTCCCTAATACCCTCCGAGAGTCCAATTGGATAGGTGAAACCATCCAATTTGCCTTTAAACGGCCAATTTAGCGGTTTACAACCTGCGCCTATTTCATTAACTCAAGCCTACCACGAATATTTATGTTAACATATAATGATCATGTATGGTTCCAAACGACATTATATGACCCCGAGATATATCACCTAAAATCTCTAGGATTTTCGATACCAGAGCTCGATACCTCAAAAATTTCTTATAAAGCGTGGATTTTAGCCTTAAATTTAGGAATTTTTTGAATTTTTTTCTCCTGAAAATAAAAATTGTCGAAATGTTAACCATGGTCCCTAATACCCTCTGGGATAGGGATGGCAATGGAGCGTTTTGGATGCGGATGATGGTACCTCCATACCCATACCCGCCTAAAATTTTTATACTCATCCCTGCCCCACCACCCGTGGGCCGTGGCAGGTACAATATCTACATCAATTCCCACCCCCACCGGGTACAAGATAGGATCCGTCCCCGCTCTATCACCTTAGTTGGATATTAATACGCACCTCATACCCGCTCCAAAATCGTCTCAAACCCTTTTCCATGATGCTCTATTGTATCACATTAATGACGATAATACCAAATTAGGTTAAGAAAATTGGGACTTTCACTATTCAATCTTATTGGGTTTTAGGGGATATCAAGTTTAATAAATTCAAAACTCTTCTAAATAATTATGGTGCGGGTATAAGATGGGTACGTGATGGGGCGGGTCTACTCTAAAATCCATACCCGCCCCATCACCTATGGCAGGTACACATTTTATACTCATCTCCGCCCTATCACCCGCCAAACCTTCCTCCATCCCCGCCCCACTTGGGTGGGGATGGGACGCGTCTCCCATTTAACCCGACCCACTGCCATCCCTACTCTGGGGTCCAATTAGGTAGGTGGAACCATTCAATTTGCCTTTAAACGACTAATTTATCGATTTACAACTAGCATCGATTTCATTAACTCAATCCTACAACGAACATTTATGAAAACAAAGTAAATAATGATCACATATGGTTCCAAACGACATTATATGACCCCGAGATGTATTCCCTAGAATTCCGAGACTTTTAAACACGGGCCCCGAAGACTCTAAAATTTCACCAAAAGCGTGGATCTTAGACTTTAAATTTTTGAATTTTTTGACTTTTTTTTTTTAATATATGGTTCCAAACGGCATTATATGACTCCAAGATGTAATCCTAAAATTTTAAGGCTTTTCAACACCGGGCCTCAAAATCTCCAAAATTTCTCAATAAGCATGGATCTTAGACTTTAAATTTTTGAATTTTTTGACTTTTTTTTTTTGTCCGGAAATAAAAATTTCCGAAATGTTAACCATGGTCCCTAATACCCTACGAGAGGCCATTTGGATGGGTGGAATCATCCAATTTGCCTTTAAACAACCAATTTACCGGTTTACAACTTGCATCGATTTCATTAACTCAAGCCTAACACGAACATTTATGACAACATATAATGATCATATACGGTTTCAAACGGCATTATATGACCCCGAGATGTATCCCCTAAAATCTCAAGGTTTTTCGACACCGTATTCAACCTCAAATATTTCTCAAAAAGCGTGGATATTAGTTTTCAATTTTGAAATTTTTAACTTTTTTCGCTCGGAAATAAAAATTACCGAAATATTTACCATGGTCCCTATTACCGTCCGATAGTCCCATTGGGTGGGTGGAACCATCCAATTTGCTTTGAATTGAACAATTTACCGGTTTACAACTTGCACCGATTTCATTAACTCAAGCCTACCACGAACATTTATGAGAACAAATAATGATCATATATGGTTCCAAACAGCATTATATGACCTCAAGGTGTATCCCCTAAAATTTCAAGAATTTTCGACCCTAGGTCCGAAACCTCCAAAATTTCTCAAAAAGCGTGGATATTCTTCAATTTTGGAATTTTTTGACTTTTTTTCGCCCGGAAATAAAAAATTTCCGAAATGTTTACCATGGTCCCCAATACCCTCTGGGAGTCCTATTAGATTGGTGGAATTATCAAATTTTCCTTTAAATGGCTAATTTAGTTACCGATTTAAAACTTGCACCTATTTCATAAATTCAAGCCTACCACGAACATTTATGAAAATATATAATGATCATATATGGTTCCAAATGGCATTATATGACTCCGAGATGTATCTCCTAAAATCTCAAGCCTTTTCGACACATGGCCCCAAAACCTCCAAAATTTCTTCAAAAGCGTGGATATTAGCCTTCAATTTTGGAATTTTTTGACTTTTATTCGATCGGAAATAAAAATTGCCGAAATGTTTACCAGGTTCCCTATTACCCTCTGGGAGCCCAATTGGGTGGATGGAACCATCCAATTTGCCTTTAAACGACCTATTTATCGATTTACAACTTGCACCGATTTTATTAATTCAAGCCTACCACAAATATTTATGACAACAATTAATGATCATATATGGTTCCAAACGACATCAAATGACCCCGAGATGTATCCCCTAGAATGTCAAGACTTTTCGACATCGGGCTCTGAATTCTCCAAAATTTCTCAAAAAGTTTGGATATTAGCTTACAATTTTGGAATTTTTTGACTTTTTTCGCGTGGAAATAAAAATTGCCAAAAAATTTTCCATGGTTCCTAATATCCTCCGGGAGTCCAATTGGGTGTGTGGAACCATTCAATTTGCTTTTACGGCCAATTTACTGGTTTACAACTTGCACCGATTTACCGGTTTACGGCCAATTTAATTAACTTGCACCGACCCCGACTTGAACCGAAATGGATCCGAACCTGTTTTAGCTCGTCAAAACCCGAATTTAACCCGACTTGTTACTAACCTGACCTGAATTTAACTCGACCCGAATTTAACCCAACATGTTACAAATCTGACCCGAAATCAACCCGACTTGTTATTGACCTGACCCAAATTCAACCCGACTTGTTATTGACCCGACCCGAATTTTACCATACCTATTATTTACTAACCCAAAAATTCAACCCGATCTGTTATTAACCTGACTCAAAATTAACCAACTTGTTATTGACACGACCTAAATTCAACCCAAATTGTTCCCGACTCGATTTTAATTCACCTTAAATGCAATTTAGACCACCTTATTATTGTTGATCAAAGCATTTTGTCTTGGGTGACCAAGTCAATCTAGGTTAGCAAAAGAAAAAAGCATCATCCTCAAATTTAAGAGTTTAATATAATACGTAGTATATATTTGTTGTATGGTCAAAGGAGATAATTATCTTCCTAAATTACAAACTATAGTTCACTAGTATATTGCCATATACTATATTATAGTCTCAGGGAATAATTAGCTTGATAAAAATGATAATTATCTATTTATAGTTAGTTAAACCCGAATATGACCCGACCTGATTGTAACCTGCTAATTATTGACTTGAACATAACCCGACTTGAACTCGAGAATGACCCGACTTGGAAATGACCCAACCTAATTATAACCCGCAAATTATTGACTTGAACCGAACCCAACTTGAAAATGACTCGACCAGATTATAATCCGCAAATTATTGACTTGAACCGAACCCGACTTAAACCCGAGAATGACCCGACCTGATTGTAAACCGCAAATTATTGACTTGAACTGAACCCGACTCGAACCTGAGAATTACCCTAACTCGTTTTAACCCGTGAAAACCCAAATAAAACCCAACCTATTGTTCACTCGACCCGAATGTAACCCGACCAGTTATTAACTAGACCTAAATCCGACCCAAACTCGATAAAAAGTATGACCCGACGTGACCCGACTCAAGCATAACCCAAACCCGACCTGCATAGGTTATGGAATTAATCTGAATTAACCCGACTCGAGTTGACCCGACATGCTCTTACCCGACCCAAACCCGACCCGTTTACCTGGATTGACAGCTCTACTTACACTTTAGCAAACTTGAAAGTAAAAAATATTAGCGAAAGCATTATCCTAACCCCTTTCTTTAACTATAACAAACCAATCAACTTATTGATAATTAAAGAAATTAACGATTGAATTCATCTCTATTTGTTTCACTAATTATTAAATTTCTTCCCTCCCTTTTGACAAAGCCTACTTTATGTAAGCTCGTGCAACGACCCACTAATAAAACACCCAAAATCATTAGAAATAGACCCTATATAAAAACATCGACCAATTTTTCCCAAATTCATTCATCATTCATTCATTTCCCTTTCTTTCTTTCTCCTCTGCTCAAATGAGCTCAAACCCAGAACCAACCTTAGTAACCCACAATGGAGGATGCCATTGCAAGAGAGTAAGATGGAAAGTAGAAGCACCCACCTCTTTAATTGCTTGGAAATGCAATTGTTCAACATGTTCAATGAGAGGTAACACCCATTTCGTTGTCCCAATAAATAATTTCAAATTAATTTCTGGAGAATCAAACATTACTACCTATACTTTTGGGACCCATATTGCTAAGCACACTTTCTGTAATGTTTGTGGAATCACCTCTTTCTACACTCCTCGATCGAATCCAGATGGTATTGGGGTTACTCTGGCTTGCCTTGATCCTGGGACTGTAACCCATGTTGAAATTCGGAGCTTTGATGGTATTAATTGGGAAGACTCTTACTCTCAGTCTGGGATTTCTGCTTGTTCAAAGCTCAAATCTTGAGGTTTGTTTCAATTTTTGGTTGGAATCATAATAAAAAAGTCTGTTGGTGATTTGTTATTGGATTGTGTTTTTGAGAAATTTCGGGTTATAATTGAATTGGGTTTTTGTTAATGGGTTTGAATTTTCAGGAAATGTTATCAACAGGAGCAAATAAATGGAGTTGGAGATGTTTACTGTATACAGTTGAACCTCATACTGTGCACATGTGAGTTGTTTTACATCGGAGAAAATAAGTGTTACTGTATTATGATACCCATATTATCTATTGTACTCCATATCTTATAAGTTAGAGGAGTTACTCGTCTTGGGTTTTATTGCCTTATGGCTTCTGCTTTGTATTACTATAGCAGCTTCAAAGACAGACATATAAAAGGTAGTGCTTATTTTATTGCCATGATTTGGGTGAAATTATTCTTGTAACTCGAAAAGCAGTTAGTCAATTTATTATATTTTCAAAATTGGAATAGCAATTTATTACTACTACTATTAGTTTGTTTTTTTTACCAACTGTTGATTGCAGATATTGCTGTTTGAAATCCATTAACAAATGTGCCTTAAGAATTGTATAAACTGATGAAACAGAGCAAGTACTAATATAGAATAACTTAGTGTATACCTAACAAGCCTTTTCCTTCAGATTTAAACCAATTATATGAGAAATTATAGACATAGCGTTCAGAACCCCAGGAGGCGGAGAAGAACTAATTTTCTAAATTTTAACTAGTTCCAAACGTTCCATATTTCCATCACCAAAATTGAAAATTAAAATTACAATACAATTTTCCACCATAAGATGGCAGTAGAACCAAAAATTGGTGCATATACAGAACCCATAAAAAACAAACCAAATTTAAGATCACAACAAAGGACCTGCCAGCAGAAAACTTGCAGCAACCAGGTACATATAACATCTGCTAATTTAAGAGAAAAACAGTGACCGTCAAGCAATATCCCATTGGTCATTGTCGTAAAGCACATATTTGCTGAAGTGGCTGACCCTAAATTTCCACTCTCCTTTAATAGGGTCGTAGGACAAAAATTCAGCACCTTGATCCTCTGCTTTCTTCTTCAGCATGTCCTTGTATTTTTCAATTCTTGGTCCTTCTAAGATTTGATTACCAGTTTTTTTGTCAAAGCACTTGATGTTAAGAAGTGTTACCTCAGCAGACTTGTTAAGTCCTTGACCTACTGGGGGTTTCTTGCTATCATCCATATAGACAATTACCTCTCGATTGTTGAATTGGATAAGCGTTTCGAGATCAAGCCGCCTTACATCAGTTTCCCCCAGGAATCTAATGCTTCCATAGCCATGTCGTCCCACTACAAAATCCTTGACATGTCTGCAGAACCCTGGTTCAGCCCTTTCTTTAGCAGCCAGCTCTTGGATACGGGGCTCTGTGTAATAATCAGAGTGCCGAAGTTTAGGCATCATTGCCTCAATATCAGCCCCATGCTCATATACTATAGCCGCCTCACCAGCTCTGTGACCTGAAAGTGTAATATAAGAATCTCCTTTATGGTTTGAAGCATCATCAGAGGTAGCACCGGGTTTCTGGCTGATTCTAACAGGATGACTTCGTTCATTAATCAATCCATTTCCATTGGGCACGCCTGAAAACATTCATATTTATGAGAATTGAAATAATAAAAACACAACGAAGAGATGATCTTAATTTTAACACACAAGGCGCAGCCCAGGACTAATCCAGCATCCAGCCATCCCTGGAAAGACATTCATTGGACACTAAGAGAGTTGTGGCGTCAACCATCTCATGCAAGGCAAAAGGCACAGTGATAGAGAGATCTAACTTATACACCTAAAGGGTCACAATTAAATTAAAACTCGACATCTTTAAAATCATGTAAGAGAAAAATGCCCACAGCCCTGCACTTAATTGCATAAAATAGCTTCAATTTGAACCCTAAATTAAGCTGAATTTTAAAAGAAGCCCAACTTGCAAGTCAACAAGACATAATGTCACATACTTGTCAGAATTCAAAACCATCCATCGACTGTATCCTTACAACCTATCCACCCTTTCTGTCCTTGGTTTATCTTTCCCCGCCCCCTCTTCATTTACAGTAGGTCCCTTTAAAATTTCAAATGGGTGTAGCTAAAATTATTGGAAAGAGTTCTGACTTAATGGGAGATTATATGTGGTTCAGAATGGTGGCAAAGAGGAGCAATCACCTAGTATGAATCGAAAGGCAGGACCACCGCTATCAGCTCTTCAAACTGTACTGATGGTGATATGGTATGAATCAAATGACAGGACTGCTTAAGATAATGTTTCTAATAGAGCTTATTTATGAGTACAACTGTTTATAACTTTTAGTTGGATTCAAGTTTTCCCAAAAAAAAAAAGGAAAAAAAAAGAGGTATTTATTGTTTAAGAACATTTTTCTTGAGAGCCAAAAGGTCCAAGGAAGACAAAAAAAAAAACCATCCTCCATTCTCTTTTACTTTTAACACTGTCTTATAGTAAGCAAACAAATCAATCAAAATAATTTATACACATAAAAATTAACCCTTCCATACTCTTGCTGTTAAAATTATATCGATAAATTTATTCGTTTTCTTTCTCTAATCACCTCCAAAAAGTGTGTTGCAAGTAAAAGAAAATAGAGGAAGTATATACAACTAGAAAACTGGCAAAAAAGGAGGTTGAGGGGAAGGGTACTGCTACTTAAAAAGAAACTGATGAGGGTGAATGCTTCAAAATTGTGGCCACTATCTTATCCCCTGTATTACCAGTTTACCACTAAACTACCTTAGGTTATAGTGGACTTAAACCAATACAACAGATGATATAGCATATTATATGGATCATGGGCGAGCAGTACATGGCCTAGATAGCCTGACACCCCCCCCCCAATTATATGGATCATGGGCGAGCAGTACACTCTCTCAATCTGTCCTTGCACACACACTCATATGCAATATGATACAATATCAAATAAAAATTAATACTAGTAATAATAATAATAATAATAATAATAAAAAACATAAATAAAGAGCAATCAACATATTCAAAGCATCATCATACTTTTTCTGAACAATAAAAAAAATTTATTAACAAAACCTCGAGCATAGTGTAAACTCCTAATGGTTCAAATCAGAAAAAAAGAAGTCACTTACTACCATTCCCTTCAGCAAGGGATCCATTCTGAAGATGCTCATTCTCATTTGGTGTATTACCTTTCAAAGTATAGAAAATAGAAGGGGGAGCGTTAGACAGAGCAATTAAAACATTAAACTCCAACCAAATCATTAAAACTGTGCAGATATGAATCATAGCCTACAAATTACATAAAATATGGCTTCCCAGTAAATATACCCCTTTCCATTCTGGTATGTTTCAATTTTTTTTATTTTATTTTTATTTTTTATTATTCATCTCTTTAACACATCTAGAATTTATACTGCTCCATTCGAAACAATTTCTACATTTTCTTTCCACTATTAAAATTACATCAAAGGGAAAAGGTACAAACAATAAGAAATGGAGTCAGAAAGACGATATTTAGAAACAGGCATATACATACGCAAATATCTAAGTTCTGACTCTTTCTGAAAATCTAACTTCTCTTATTATTATCCCTTATCATCTCCCAAGGGCATCCTACTTCCACAACCTCATTGCAAAAGCAAAGTCAATAGAACAGTGATGTGAAGACAGCAGAAATAGCTGTCTAAAAAGGAATCACCAGATCAATGAACCAAAATACTTATTCTAACTCTTACAAGATGTAGAAATTCAATACCATTTTCATGCACTAAGACACACGCTTCCTTCATTGAAGATTTTGGCCATTGATCAATCGGCCGAATTATCAATGCTCTTGGGTTTTCCCTGGGAACAAATAGAGCATCTGCCTTAGGAGTGCTAGGCGCCTCATCATCATCACTGAAGAAAGGAACCTGCATGCAACAACTATTAGTTTATGGAAAAAGTTTGCAAGTGCATGAAATAGCAATGAGATACACTCATAAACACACCCTTGAACCATCATTCTTAGGATGATATTTCCTTGCGGGTAGCCTGATCCGCCTCTGAGACAAATGTCGTGACGTTAAAAAGGATGATATTCTGACAGGGGTAGGTTTATCAACAACCTGAAAAGAAGATAATGGCATCAAATACACAAACATCACTAAAAATTTGCAGCATAATTTTAAACAAATGAGCTGGATAGAAATGTTTACAGGCATGCTAGAGATCCCATATTGAATGGATGGTGAGGTTCCAGTATTTCCAATTGACATATGAGGCATAGCTGGAAGGGTCCCAAAAGGATTTGTGACTGCAACTGGTTGGGCAACTGCAGATATCTGGTTTGAAGATCTGTGGCATGATGCGAAAAGTGTACATTAGTAATCAACTTATATGTTTGCTGTTGTGACTTGTGAGTAATCGATTCTATATAAGCACTGGAAGTATTTCAAATTGAAGTGCTAAATTGCACATAATTATGCGCACAAATGAGTAACAAGATGTCCAAATACTTAAAAAAATAAAAATGGTATGACAAGCTAATCATATTTTCTTTTCTTTCTTTCTTAAAAGTTACAATAAAATCAGACTACCAGAGAATTCAAAATCCTTTGTAACCAACCACACAAACAAGTAAAAAAACCCATACTATTATATACCTTAATGAAAAGGGAAATATTTCGCATAGACAAAATTGATAATATAAGTACAAGGACAAAACTATGAGCTATATCAACAAAAAAAACAGATGTAGAATTTACAATTACAGCACTGGAGTCTGAAGAGCATGAAAATAAAAAATTGCATCTGACAACAATACATCTGTTTTGTTTAACATGATTCATACATTAAATTATATTTGTTAATATCTTACTTCAGCCTAATTTCGTAGAACATGGATGATGGATCACAACTTAAGTTCAGTCTACTATTGTTAAATTATCCCTCCTTATACCCTAAAAGTGCTATTTATTTGAAATTATGACTTTTTTATCTTTCATTTAGATTCAAAACACCCTAATTGCTTCGCACAAGATAATACGAAGTATATGTATTGCAGAAAAGTCAAAGTCTAACAGAGTAACAGGAGAAGCTAAGGTATTCTGTGATTCTCATATGTAGGCACAGACGCACAGTTATCCTTCCATATTTATATTAACCTACTTTTCATCTTCACTGAATTCTCTCCAACAAAGGCAGAAGTGAAGCTCAGAGGCATAAAGACGTATTTTATCTTAACTTTCAGACAATCAAAGCTAAATCTGCCTGCATATCCTTCAACCTTATTCAGGGTGATGTAAGCCTGAAACACTTTGCTTCCCTATTAAGAAGGAAAAGGGCATAGATAATTGTTGCCTCCTCTCATCCCATCCCCATATGATGGAAAAATAAAATAAATCACATGCAATTGAGAACATTCATTTTTGCACAGATGTTTATCAGGCATGAGTCATACAAGCATCTATTCCATGTTA